CAAATGGAACGCCCACAGCGCCATTGTGCAACCATGCGATGTCAACAAACGCAAGGAAAGTGGATATCTGTTTTCTTTCGTCCACCTCCTGTCGCGTTCCTCATGTCTGCGTTCATGTGTGCATGCAGGCGCGCGCTTGGGGGGCTGTGGATGTGCGGGGGTATTGATGCATGCGCATATGCCGCCTCCCCCTTCCTCCTCCTCCCCCTCCTCTTCCTGTCCCTTATCCTGCGCCGGCGCGCCTGAATCGGATCTTGGGGCAGAGATTTTGGCAGGGTTCGCGAGGAAGCCCCTGGCGGTGGAACGGCGGGGGAACGGGCGAGAGACGGAGGGGCGGACGAAGATGGGAAGGAAGAGGATTGGAGGAAAAGCGAAGGGGAGGGGGATAGACAATGTACTTGCGGGTTTCAGTGGGGCAGAGCGAAGCGGTGCGGGCGGAGTGCAAATGGGGCGCGGACGACCATGGCACCATGGCCTTTGGGTTGGGTCGGGCACGGGCTGGCGGGGCTGACGGAGTTGAGCGCGGGGGGGGGGGGGGGACTTGGCCTTCGGCGCAGCCATTTCGGGTCAAGCGCGCAGTGCGGGGGGGCGCGCCGGGCGCGGGCCCGCGCGCCCGCTCGCCCCAGCGCGACGCGTCGCCTGGGCCTGGGGCGCGTCCGCGTCGCAGCCCGCCAAACGCACGCTTGCAGAACGCGCCGTGTCAAGTGCCGAGCGGGTTGCGCGGCGCCCTGCAGTGGATTGCCCAGATCTCGTGCACTGGGCCACGGCACAGGTGGCGCGCTGGGCCGCGCGCAGACTTGCCGGCCGCGGCAGCCGCGCCCTGAAGGTCAACGCTCGCCCCCGAGATCAGAGCAGTCCTGCTCCCAAACTTTAATGGCCCGCTCCGCCAGGAAATGCTGGAAGCGGCTGGGCACGCAGACCTGGCCGCGCGCGACGACATCGCGCGCGGCTTCCCGATGGCGGGGCCCATGCCCCATTCCGTGCTTTTCGGCAGCGCGAACGTTGGGCGCCTGCCCGGTCGTCGGGGCTGCGATGGGGGCGCTGCTGCGCGCGCCCCAGCGCCGGGGCCGCGCGCTGAATGACGTCCCGAGCAAACCGCGTCGGGAGCCAGGACCGCAGGCAGACGTCGCGGCAGGAAAGATGAGTGCCCATGGGAGGCGCGCCGAGGCCGCGATAGCGAGATCGTGAGCACAGCGCCATTCGCGGAATGGCTGCCGACCGACAGCGGTTCCCCGGGGTGCAAAGCCGCGCGGCAAGCAGCTACGACGCGCGGCCCATCGACAATTTCACCGCGAGCGGCCTGAATTCAGCAGTCGCTGCCATCGAGGCCATGAGTCACGGGGCTCTCAGCGCACATGGCCACCACCCAGCACGCGGCAGTGCTGTTGCAGGATTGGGGCAGCGACGGCAACCGCGCTGGTCTGGAGCGACGACGTGGGCACCGAAGGCGACTTCCCTGCGTTCGCCCATAGAGCCCTGCCCTTTGCTGCCTTCGGCGCCGTCTGGGGGTTCGCGCGCGTGGGCGGGAGAGTTTGCCGCGCGCTGCAGCGCCTGTTCGCGGCCCCCCAAATGGCATGCGTCGACGACTTCTTCCGCTCCTCGCAACGCCGCTTCGCCGCGCTGCAGCAGTGGATTTTCGGTCAGCTGCACAACCTACTCGGCGTCCCGCTCAAGGGCGAGAAGGGGCAGGCCCCCGTGCAGCGGCTCCAGATCCTGCGTCTGGAAGCAGCTGCAGCGGCACGGTGGTCCGGGCTGCGGCCCACCGAGGAACGGAGGCCCCGGCACTGCGCCTTTCGCGATTGACCGCCAGATGCGCGCCCCGCCTCGGTGGGCAACTTGGCTTCAAAAGCGTCGCGATCTTCGGCCGCGCGGGCCGCGCGCGCGCCGGGGTAGGCAGCTCCCACGGAGGCGGCTGGACCGAAGAATTCGGATACGGGCTACGCTAGCAGCGCGGGCTGCTGACCATGCCGCTGCATTATTGCCGGGACCGCAACTGCAAGTTGAGGCAGGCGGTCGCACGGGCAGACGGCTCACGGGAAATGGGCGCTGGCGACGGCGCGTTGAGGGCCGCGTCGCTCACCGCCGACGGAGGTTGGAGTTTGCCAGCAGAGGTGTCTGCAAATCGGCGGGAGGAGTTGCGCAAGACTGGAAAGCGGCAGCGGAGCGCCCAATCGGAATTATTGGCCGAGCAGTTCCGCGGCCGCGGCTTCATCTTGCGCGGAGAACCAGGCCGCGCTCGAGAATGTCCTGGCCGGGTCCGCCGCGGACCCCAACAGCTGGTCCTTCGTCGTGAGGCATGGCTGCAGGCGGCATTTCTGGATCGAGCATGTCCCCAGCGAATCCATCCCCACCGACTGCTTCTCGCGAGGACACGCGGCAGTTCTCCAGCATGCGCGGCCTGGTCGCGTTTTCACCGCGATTGCCGCCCTCCTTGCAGACAGAGCCCGAGACGCGGGCCGCGGCCGCGGCGGCCGCCCGCGCCCCCTGGAGATGGGCCGCG